CCCTCATCCCCTACTCCCTCACCCCCACATGCCATCTGCTCCTAGCTTTGGCGTGGGCTGTGGGCCTGGGAGGCCTCTCAATTGCCTATCTCCCCCCGCTCCCTGCCAGCAATCAGCTCCCATCCACAGCCGGGGGGTGTAGGTCTGGGAGGAAGCTGTGCCCCCAAGAGCTATCCCTTCCCTAGGGCAGCCTGGGGTGTCAGCCTCCAAAGGGCCTGCACCCATGGAGTGATCCCCCCACATACACCTATAGCCTTGGAACTTCCCTTGCCCCCAGCAGGGTGATTAGAGACAGAAAGGGAATAAAAGAAGAAAAGAAAGAAAGGACAAAAGATGAAACATCAAGAAAAAGAAAGAGAAGAAAAAAAGGAAGAAACAACCACTTGATATCACCTTTCCAAGGTCTCATGAAATTCCTGTTTAAGGAGTTTATTTTATGACACTTTTAGTTTGGGTTTACATTTTTACTGGTTTGTCAAGACCACGGCAGGTACACTGTCCAATATGTTAAGGAAAAAACCCTATCTAATAAAGAGGGAATATGCAGGGGAGGGCATTTGAGGGTGACCGGGCTATCAGGGGAGGGCAGTTGGGGACTCTTGGGCCGGCAGAGGAACAGTTAGGCGTCAATCAGGCTGGTAGGGGCGTGGTTAGGGGATGATCAGGCTGGCAGGCAGAAGTGGTTAATGGCAATCATGCAGGCAAGCAAGCAGTTGGGACCAGCAGTCCCAGATTGTGTAAGGGATGTTCAACTGTCTGTTTAGGCCCAATCCTAGGGATTGGGCCTAAACAGGCAGTCAGACATCCCCTGAGAGGTCCCAAATTGGAGAGGGTGCAGTTTGGGCTGATGGATACCGCACCCCCCCCCCTCAGTGCATGAATTTCATGCACCGGGCCTCTAGTCCTATATAATAAAAGACTGATATGCAAATTGTCCTCTCCACCAGGAGTTTGACTGGGAGTTCGACCAGGGGGCAGGGCCGACTGGCCAACCGCCTGTGGCCCTCCCCCCATTGGCCCATCCCAATCAAACACTATCAGGGCAGGCTGACCGAACCCCACCTGTGCATGAATTTGTGCACTGGGCCTCTAGTTTCTCATATATATATATGGCTAATATGCAAAGTGTCCCCTTGGGAATTCGGCCAGGAGAATGGAAATTTGATCACATGCTATGACATGCCCTGACCACCAGGGGGCAGCATGGATCACGACAGGTGACCAGTGGCAGGGGTGTTGAGGAAATGAGGGAAGGAGGAGACAGGGAGGTGGGGAGGCGGAGAGGTGGGGAACCTGGGAACTTGATTAGCCCTGATTGCTGGCCAGGCCTAGGGACCGTACCCATGCACGAATGTTGTGCAACCGGGCCTCCAGTATAATATAAACATGTATCATATATACTTGCATATCACATTTATGTACATATATAATCCTATATAATAAAGAGCTAATATGTAAATGGTCATCACACCCTCATGCCATCACACCTTAACTGCTCAGATACTCAATACTGGGAAGAGAAGAATGAGGACCAGCCAGGCACAAATGAGCTTGCGAGAGAGGAATGGGGACCAGTCAGGCTGCGGCCCAAGAGAGGGACAAGCCCGTCCACGTCCCCTGCAGCTGCGGCCGGCCTGGGCAAAGCCAGCCCGGGTCCTGGGTGCCTGTAACTGGCCAGAGGAGGGAATCCTGGGTCCTGGGTGTGGGGCAAGGCAGAGGCAGTTAGAGGCGATCAGGTTAGCAGGGCAGCAGTTAGGGGTGATCAGGCAGGCAGGCAGGCAGAGGGGTTAGAAGCCGTCAGATAGGCAGGCAGGCAGATGAGTGGTTATGAGCCAGCAATCCTGGATTGTGAGAGGCAATCAGACATCCCCCAAGGGGTGCCAGATTGGAGAGGGCGCAGACTGGGCTGAGGGACCTTCCGACCCCCGTGCACAAATTTCATTCACTGGGCCTCTAGTATATAGTAAATATATAGATTGGGGGGTGACTGCTTACGGGGAAGGAGTTTCTTTTTGGGGTAACAAAAATATGGCGGTGGGCAAAAGTCGGTTTACAGTTGTTCATATGGAAAATAATACAATAAATAATAATACAAAAAATAAACTGTTTTGCATACTCACAACTATGAACCTACTTTTGCCCACCCCTGTATTTTGGAACTAGACAGAAGTGATGGTTGTACAACATTGTGAATGTCCTAAATGCGATGAGTTGCACATGTTAACAGGGATAATCTTATTTCAGTTTTTCAATTTGCATGCTCAAAGAAAAGCTTCTCTCTTGCTTGTTGTCACAGAGAACCACACACTCCTGCTACTCAACATTTCTATTAGAAATGCGCGAAGGTCACCTGTAAGGCCCTCAATGAGAAAGAAAGAATACATATCATTGGATGCCACCAATATCAGTATCTCTGCTCGAGAAGTGGTGACTAAATGTCCCCCATGGCCAAAACCGGTTTGGCTCAGTGGATAGAGCATTGGCCTGTGGACTGAAGGGTCCTGGGTTCGATTCCGGTCAAGGGCATGTACCTTGGTTGTGGGCATATCCCCAGTAGGGGGTGTGCAAGAGGCAGCTGATCGATGACTCTCTCTCATCGATGTTTCTAACTCTCTATCTCTTTCCCTTCCTCTCTGTAAAAAATCAATAAAATATATTTTAAAAAATAATGAAATAAAATGTCCCCATGACCAAGCCAGTGTGGCTCAGTGGTTGAGTGTCGACCTATGAACCAGGAGTCATAGTTCAATTCCAAGTCAGGGCAAATGCCGGGTTGCGGGCTTGATCCCCAGTGTGGGTGTACAGGAGGCAGCCAAACAATGATTCTCTCTCATCATTATGTTCCTATCTCTCTCTCCCTTCCTCTCTGATATCAATAAAAAATAAATTAAAATGAATAAAATGTCCCCACATAATTTTCCCATGGTAGACTCCTCCCTCTTTCCCCAAACTTCATGTGTGAGTGGGTATCTTCACAAGTCAGACTTCTGCCATAAAAAATAAAATAAAATAAAATATTTCACCAGAGACGGCTAAGAAAGTAGTGCGGACAATGTCTGTTTTTTATTCAGCAATGTCTTATCTTGTAGAAAAAATCAAGAGGACTTGATGAAATGTCCTTTTGATAGATGTGCTTAGCTCTGAATGTTTTATCCAGTATGTGATAAAAAGAACCAATTGCACTTTTAAAGAGAAGGGACTGTCCCCTCGTTGCTGTCGAAGAATTCCCCTAAAAGGCTGTCTTGTAGGCGTGGAGTGAGAAGTACTGAACGCATCGTGCCTATGCTAGGGTCTATCGCCTGGGTCTTTGCTCTGTGTGTGGTCTTTTTTTCTTTGTTGTGGGGTGTGTTTTTGTTTGTTTGTTTGTTTGTTTGTTGCCAATCTTCATGGAAGGATATTTTTTCCATTAAATTTTTAGAGAGAGTGGAAGGGAGGAAAGGGGGAGGAGAGAGAGAAACAGTGATGTGAGAGAGACACATCAATTGGCTGCCTCTCACATGCACCCTGACTGGTCCAGGGATCAAGCCTGCAATCCAGGTACGTGCCCTTGACCAGGAATTGACCCCACAACCCTTTGGTGCACAGGCTGATGCTCTAACCACTGAGAAACACCAGCTAGGGCCTGTGTATGATTTTAAAACATATCTCCAAACTTACTGACATCTCTCCCACATCTAACTCCCTTCCCTTGAGAGAATGGTGTCTGGTTCTCTCCCCTTGAAGTGGGTCAGACTTAACGAGCTTCTCCCAGAAAATGGCATGGGGTGGAAGTGGCCCTGGATGACTGTCAAGGCTGGGTGACACCCCCTGAAGCCTCTGTCTGCAAATGTGGTCGCAATGGGAGTTAGGGCTTCAACCTACGAATTCTGGGAGGACGCAATTCAGTCCACAGCAGTCACCAAGCCTGAGGTAATGTATTAAGCCAAACAGATTAACTAGAATGATATAAAACACTGCTTCTTTCAACAACTTCACCTGAAAAATTCCCTACCAGTGAATTTCCCTACACCTCCCAACTTCTTCCTTCTCTCCCCAGCCAGGTCTAACCTATTCCTCCTCTGGGTTCCCACCTCCCTGACTGCACACCCTGACCTAGCCTCCCTCCCTTGATCAGAGTCTGGGTTCTTGAGAACACTTGTCTGCCTGCTCACTGCGACACCCCCAGCTTGTGGCAAGGAACCCAAAACACAGTCCGTGCTTAGAATATCAATAAACGTGGCTGAACTAATTATATAAAGGCATATATCAATACCTCAGGCTGCGGGAAGCAGCATGGATCTATCCGGTCCCTCCAGGAACACAATGAGACTGTTTCTTAGAATCTAAACCAAGGCGTATCTTCCCATTGAACAGGCAGTCCTCCAGAGAGGAAGCAGACACAGTAAACAAACTCTTAGGGAGCTGTGTGATTTGGTTAGTAAGTATAGACAGTGAAATTAAAGCCACAGGCTACATTGAGCCCGGTTCCAGTCACTATTGCTGCATCACAAACTACTCCAGAACATACGCTCTTAAAACAACCATTTTCTTACATGTCATGGAGTCGGTAGGTCAGGAATTTGGGCAGGGTTCAGCTTGGTGGTAAGGCAAACAAGAGGGTCTACACTAGTCTAGCCAGCATGACGGTCTTGACTTCTTTTATGGGGACTGGCTTCCTCAGAGAATAGTGGATAATTAGTACCAAAATTGAGAAAAAGACTTTCCTATAATCCAATTGGATAAAAAAATTACTTCAGAACCTTAAAACAATTAAACAAAAAACACGAGAGAGCCCGCTCAACGGGCCAGCTTCACCTCTGCCTCCACAGAGTTCCCTCTCAGTTTCCTCCAAGACTGCGCCCCCTCAGCAGGACCCGTGACACCGGCAGGGAAGCAGCGAGAGACCCTCACGGGGCTGTCTGGACTGAGCGGCCTCACACCTGAGCGGTCTCACAGCCCAGCCGGTCCACACACACGCCATATCACAACTGTATCCCTAACGCCTCCCCTCATGACTGCACTCCGAGAATCCCTGGGAGTTACTGCCTTGGTGGCCACCACCTTCAGTTGACAGTATTGAAGGGTGAGTGAAGGAAAGAATAAATGCATGAGAAGTGAGTGCACGAGATTGACCCTTAGGGGCCACCTGTACTTACTGCACCCTTACTGTCCTCGCCCTGCTGGCTTTCCTGCCTCTCCGAGCGCCCCCTGTCGGTCAGTAGCCCAATTCAGACTGCTCGGCCGGCTTAGCCGGCTTTCCCTCTCGGTAATAGGCGCCCAAGTCGCTCCCGGTGACTTCTGGGGAATGTAGTCTTTGGCGCTTGCTTGCGTTTCCTGTTGGCTTCGGCCTGAGACAGTCACAAAACTTCCTTGGGTCCCATAAGCTATCGCGATGGCATTGCATCTCGGGAATTGTAGTCCTCCGTTGACAGTTTCCGCCACAGTCGGCGGCAAATGGAACGACAGTTCCCACCATGCGCCGTGCTAAAAGTTCGCTTGCAGCTAGCCCGCGAGCTTCTGGGAGATAGAGTTCTCAAACCGCACAGTTCCTTCCCTATCCTACAGAGCAGGCCGGCTCCGAGGACTACATTTCTCTGTGAGCTCCCATTAGACCGCGGCTCCCGGCAGCGGCCACCATTTTGTTCCGCCCAAGGAGCCCCTAAGATGGCGGCGGGGGAGACGGTGAAGGTTGCAGCCGGGCCCACGGGGCTGTAGCCCGCCGTCTCCCCGTCTCCCGGAGGCCAGCCGATGGCCTGGCGGAGGTCCGGACCATGGACCTCCGCACCGTCGTGTACAATGCCGCCCGCGACGGCAAGCTCCAGCTGCTGCAAAAGCTGCTCAGCGGCCGGAGCCGGGAGGAGCTGGACGAGCTGACGGGCGAGGTGGCCGGCGAGGGGACGCCGCTGCTCATCGCCTCCCGCTACGGCCACCTGGACGTGGTGGAGTACCTGGTGGACCGGTGCGGCGCGAGCGTGGAGGCGAGCGGCTCGGTGCACTTCGACGGCGAGACCATCGAGGGCGCGCCGCCGCTGTGGGCCGCCTCGGCCGCCGGCCACCTGGACGTGGTGCGGAGCCTGCTGCGCCGCGGCGCCTCGGTGAACCGCACCACGCGCACCAACTCCACGCCCCTGCGCGCCGCCTGCTTCGACGGGCACCTGGAGGTGGTGCGCTACCTGGTGGGCGAGCATCAGGCCGACCTGGAGGTGGCCAACCGGCACGGGCACACGTGCCTCATGATCTCCTGCTACAAGGGCCACCGCGAGATCGCCCGCTACCTGCTGGAGCAGGGCGCCCAGGTGAACCGGCGCAGCGCCAAGGGCAACACCGCCCTGCACGACTGCGCCGAGTCCGGCAGCCTGGAGATCCTGCAGCTGCTGCTCGGGTGCAACGCTCGCATGGAGCGCGATGGCTACGGCATGACCCCATTGCTGGCTGCCAGTGTGACCGGCCACACCAACATCGTGGAATACCTTATTCAGGAGCAGCCTGCCGGCATGGAGGTGCAGCCCGGGCTGGCCCAAGATGGTCCCTCTGGTCTGGGATGCGAGAAGTCCCAGGGGGCCGGCTGCGGCCCTTCCTCCCCGGAGGAACCACTGAGTGAAACTTATGAGAGCTGCTGCCCCACCAGCCGGGAAGCTGCTGTGGAAGCCTTGGAATTGCTGGGGGCCACGTATGTGGATAAGAAGCGTGATCTGCTTGGGGCCCTGAAACATTGGAGACGGGCCATGGAGCTGCGGCACCAGGGGGGCGAGTACCTGCCCAAACCGGAGCCCCCGCAGCTGGTCCTGGCCTATGATTATTCCAGGGAGGTGAACACGGCCGAGGAACTGGAAGCACTTATAACCGACCCGGACGAGATGCGCATGCAGGCCCTGTTGATCCGAGAGCGCATCCTGGGGCCCTCTCACCCAGACACTTCTTACTATATCCGATATAGGGGTGCCGTGTACGCCGACTCAGGCAACTTTGAGCGCTGCATCCGCTTGTGGAAATATGCCCTAGACATGCAACAGAACAACCTGGAGCCCCTGAGCCCCATGACCGCCAGCAGCTTCCTCTCATTTGCCGAACTCTTCTCTTACGTACTTCAGGACCGGGCAGCCAAGGGCAGCCTGGGCACCCAAATTGGCTTTGCTGATCTCATGGGGGTGCTCTGCAAGGGGGTCCGGGAAGTGGAACGGGCCCTGCAGCTGCCCAAGGAGCCTGGGGACTCTGTCCAGTTCACCAAGGCCCTGGCCATCATCCTCCACCTGCTCTACCTGTTGGAGAAAGTGGAGTGCACGCCCGACCAGGAGCATCTGAAGCATCAGACCGTCTACCGGCTGCTCAAGTGTGCCCCCCGGGGCAAGAATGGCTTCACTCCTTTGCACATGGCCGTGGACAAGGACACCACAAACGTGGGCCGGTACCCAGTGGGCAGGTTCCCCTCCCTCCAGGTGGTCAAGGTACTGCTTGACTGTGGGGCCGACCCAGACAGTCGGGACTTTGACAACAACACACCGTTGCACATAGCTGCCCAGAACAATTGTCCGGGGATTATGAACGCCCTGATTGAAGCCGGGGCCCACATGGATGCCACCAACGCCTTCAAGAAAACAGCCTACGAGCTGCTGGATGAGAAGCTGCTGGCCAAGAGCACCATCCAGCCCTTCAACTACGTAACCCTGCAGTGCCTTGCAGCCCGCACCCTGGACAAGAATAAAATCCCCTACAAAGGCTTCATCCCTGAGGAGCTGGAGGCTTTCATTGAACTGCACTGATAGGCTTCCGAGAGGGGAGAAACCTGGAGAGGTGCCCACACCAGTCCTCGCCATCTCCTGGTGAGCACTTCAAGTGGCATGAAACAGGAAGAAGGGCTCTCCCGACCCCACAGCCTTTCACCTAGCAGAAGGTGGGGAGAGGAGTTAGCTATTGGTTCTAGAAGCCTTCAGGATCATGCATGTGCTCGGAGAACTACGTTTCTCCAGGAGGACATGCACCGTCCTTCGTGGGGAGAAGATGCGCTACTTTCTGCACATCCCATCTGCCTGGGTGTAGGAAGATTTTGCTTCCTGAGAGGCAGAGGGATCAAAGCCATTGTTTTCCTATCCTAGAAACCAGAAGAAACTGAAAGTTGGGTCTGTCCTTTGCCCCTCATGTGGCTGGATAAACCCAGCCACAGAATGCAGTGTTAGGAACGGGGGCTCCCAGAGTGGAAAGTTGGAGGCTCAAGAAGCAAGACCATCTCTCACTTCTTACAGCACAGTTGCCCCCCACTCTCTCCCACACAGGCAGGACTCTCTGTTTAGGGTAGCCTGCTGCTTGCGTAGCTTGGGCTGGTTTGGTGTTCTGTTTATTTAGTAGGTGGGCAGGCTGCAGGCATCACGGGAGTTCTGAGGTTTTGCTGCCATATTTTCTTTTTTTCTTAAGAATTTGACATTTCCTTTGAAGACTTGATAGGTTAATTTTGTGCACCCAGGGTTTTGTCATGCCTGAGGTTGCCAAGGCCCTCAGGAGAAGCTTTATTGTGTGGAGAATTTGGTGAAGGGGGTAGCAGACCACAGTATCTGTTCCTAAAATGCAGGTGGCTGTACCTTTCTTAAAGCTTCACTCATTTGCCTTTTACTTGAGCCTCCCGTATTTCCGTCCTCATTAGAGAAGTATTTTTTTTCTAAATAGGTTCAGGCCAAACGCCCAAGGAGCTGAGCTTGATGTGTTTCCCACTGAGTGAGAACTAGCAAGGTTGTTTGGGGGCTCGGCTTTGCACAGATTTACAAGTGCACAGCCTTGTGGGTAGCCACCCTAAGTGGCTCCAGCTACTCTCGGCACTGCTCAGGTCTTCCTAAGGAAACCCTAAGTGCAGCATTTAACTCCATAAATCAGCTGGATGAGACGGTGAATGCTGAGAGCTGAGATGGTACAAAGTCTTGGCTTTCCATCACTCAGGTATAAAGTGCGTGTGTTCGAGAACCTGCTGCAGGAAGGTCTTTCTCGTGAAGTACTGCTTACGCCCTGACAGACAAAGGGGACTCTTCCTGGCCTTTTAAACAAGAGTGAGTAGCAGAAGGGGACAGAAGCTCAGGTCACATTCAGGACAGCAGCATCCTTACCCCACACCTCTGCAGCCTTGTCAGATGGCAGCTACCTGGGGCCTCGGACACCGCAGCAGGTCCACGGATACTCTGCCCTCTGAGGACACTAGGCCTCGTGTGGGTTTGCAGTGTTACTAGGATGTTATTTATTCGCAAGACCAGGTTTACCCTCTTGGAGGTGGGAAACAGCACAGAATAAAGAAATGAGGCCATTACATTGTGCTGGTGTTTGTCATTAAAAAGAACATGAGAAGAAAACCACCCAACAGTTCCTGCTGGGGTAGCGGGGGGCAAAGGGAGGAAAAGGGTGACCCTGAGAGTAAAAGGTCATGGTGCCAGTCCACTTAAAGGAGATGCCCTCAGGCTGCCATCCTAATGAGTTCATATATATATATATATATATATATACACACACACACACACACATACACACACACATACACGTTTTATTGTTGATAGTATTACAGATATTTCCCATTTTAACACCCCCCCCCCCCTTTACCCTTTTCCCAGCCCCTGCTCAGCCCCCCAGGTCTTCAGCACCCAGGTGCCTGTGTCTCCATGAGCTATGCATATAAGTATAAAAATTCTTTGGTTTATCTCTTCTCGTCCACCCATCCCCACATCAAAGTATGTCAGTCTGCTCCATGCCTCCATGCAGGAGTTTTTCTTTATGTGCTGGGGCTCTGTGTAAGATTGCGCTCAGAAATGGAGTATTACCGCATAAAAAGTGAGCACCGCCCGCCTTAGTTCAAACCCCTCACTTGGCATGGAAAAGAGGGTGGGCGTGACCCTTCTGAAAGCCTGCCACCTCACAGACCCGTGGATGGAGCCGTGGGTGCTGTGGCCCCAGAGGTCTGTCTGTCCATGAACTTGGTGGGTTTCCTGGAGCTGCTTCCCCCTTAGGAAAGTCCAGGCCTCCCCTCTTTTTTTCTGCCATCTCAGTTGTGGAATTCTGTTTCCCCCCACATGAGTACAGTCAAACTCCTACCCAAGGCACTGCCCGGTTGGGTTTTCCAAAGCACCCACTGTTTGCCAGTCCCTTAGGGGGAGGCTGGAGCTGTTATTCCTGAGGCGGATGATTTCCATGTTCCTGCCTCCTGTGGCCTAGGCAAGACCAGGCCGTGCCCTGGTGACATTTGCCTCCAGTAGTTCATTGGGCTGGAGAATTCTCCAACAGCCCTCAATAGCTAATATCCACTCGGGCACCACATGACTATGTCTTGCCTTAAAGGAGTGGATTTCAAATCAGCAGGTGCTCCGAGCCGTGTCCTGGGAGAGACATAACTGCAGAAGCACTTACTGAGCCCGGACTGTGCTGGCACCGTTCTGCGTGCCTTAGTGGGCCGCCTCTGACTGCTCACCACAGCCCGGTCAAGTATGCATTCTTTCTATTCTGAGGTGACAAAGGGTGTTAGGAGGCTCACGGAAAAGGAACACGGATCTGTGGCAATGCTTTCCTTACAGGCTTCGCAGTCACAGCCTTCCTGGGCCCGGGGAGGCTGTTTCCGCAGCTCAGCACGGTCGCCTGCTCCCTCCGGGGTCCTGACAGGGCAGCCAGCAGGAGGGAAGGCATCTTTCTGCCAGCCAGAGACCCAGCGTTCACGTTCACGTGGATCAGAACAATCAGTAGCCCAGCCGGAACCGGTTTGGCTCAGTGGATAGAGCATCGGCCTGCGGACTGAAAGGTCCCAGGTTCGATTCCAGTCAAGGGCATGTACATTGGTTGTGGGCATATCCCCAGTACGGGGTGTGCAAGAGGCAGCTGATCCATGATTCTCATCGATGTTTCTAATTCTCTATACCTCTCTCTTCCTCTCTAAAAAGTCAATAAAATAAAAAATAAGAAAAAGAACAATCAGTAGCCCAGAAATGGGGTTCTGTAATAGGGAACAGGTTCGATGGAGGAAGGCAAAAAACAACACAAGAAAGCACATGATAAAACCATTAACCGTAATTTATCAGTGAAGAAACAAGCTCAGAGGCCACGTGGCCCGCTCAAGGCCACACAGCCAGGATAATGCCCGCGTCACTGGTAGCTGAGCAAAGTGAGGCTCCATGAGCGGCAGGGATTTGCTCACCTTCACTCGGCCAGGAAGCGTGCAGCCCCCCTCACCAGTGGGAGCCACTCCCCCCCTCTCACTGTCACTTCCCACCTCACTTCCTGCCCCCGCAGAACTGAAATCCTGCTCGTTTGCTCATTTACTTGCTTAATAATGCCTTTCCCAGACCTTCCAGATCCCTGTGAGGGTCTGTCTTAGTCACTGCCATGCCCTTAGCACCCAGGTGCTGAGTAAGGAAATGGATGAATGCCTGCCAAATCCCGAAATTCCAGTCCTTGGACTACTTGAGGCAGCAGCAGGGGACACGGTGGGAGGGGGGAGGGGCAGGCCCTGATGGCTTGTCCCCCCCCCCCCCCCAGAACCTCCCCCTGTCCTACACAGAACCTGCCACCCCCACCGGATTCCAGCGCTGTCATCTGAGCGTGTTTACCACAGGGGAGGGGCGGGGAGGGGATCAGAGCGTCCTGGCCCGGAGTTAAAGATAGCACAGCTCCGAATCACATCAGAGGCCGGAAAGGTGAGATGACCAACCGCTGGCACAGCAGGGCGCTGCATGTGCCCAGAGAGGATGGGCGGGTGTGGATTCCTGTGGGAGGTCCTGTGAGGGCTGGGCGGAGAGGGTGGTTCCAGCCAGTGGTTGTCACAACATGTGCTAGGCAACCCCTCCTGCAGGGCTGGGGGAGAAGCGTTCCAGCCCCTGGGGTTCCTGTAGGTCACAGAAGAGACTTTGAACTTGGGCTTTGAACAAGACACCTGAGATCCCCCCCAGGTCAAACCTCTCCCCCTGCCTTATGCGCTAACATTCTCTCCTACAGCCCATCGAGCAATGATCCTGACGAAATGTCACCTCCTCTGTGAAGCCCTCCCCGGTTGTCGGAGGCACAGCCCCAGCCGTCTTCCACCACATCCCCCTCATGTACTAGTATTTCCTTCTCAACCCCTATAACCTTAACCCACAGAACCATCCTTTTCTTTATAAGCGTCCTTTGTCCATCCTGTCCCTCCCCTGAACATCCACTGCACAGGCTCTTCCCGGCTGTGTTCCCAGTGTGTGAGAGAAGGCCCCACCCAGAGGACTCTTTTAGTGTTTGCTGAATGAATAAATGAACTCACACGGTTCCTTCTAAGGAGAGCAAGGAGGCCTGTGCGGCCAGATCGGAGTGAGTGATGGGGAGCAGGAGGAGCTAGGGGTGCAGGGCCTTTAGCCCCCAGGGAGCTGTTTGGGTGTTATCCTTAGGGAGACAGGCAGCTGGGGCAGTTTCAAGCCAAGGAGAGGAGTGACCTGCTTTCAATTTTGAGATCCCCGTGAGTGAGGCTGGAGGAATGGTTGGGGTGGATCTGGAGACCAGGGACCACGGCCCATGGGGGTGGGGGGAGGGCGAGCTATGCAGGTGTCCCAGTGAGTACAGCGGAGAAGAGGGCTGGATCAAGTCATGCCCTGGGTGGACAGATGTCAGATCTACTTGGAAGCTGGCTGGCCAGAGCTGGTGATGATCTAGGAGAACAGGGATCGGGGGGAGTCTAAATGGACTAGATTTTGAGCCAGAGCCAGTAGGTGGGTGGGTGGTGGACTGTTTAATGGGCTGGAGAGAAACGGAGCAGAGGTCAGGGCCCGAGGTGGCTCTGGGGCTGCTGGAGCCCGTGTAGCTGCCTTGTCTACCCAGGACAGTGCCTGGTGCACCGCTGCAGTCTGCCTTCAGTGACTTATCAGAGGCTCTCAGTCCAGGGAAGGTAGGCCCGTGAGTTGCTGAAGTGGCTTGGCATTGACTTCTAAAGGACAACAACCTCCGATGTCATTTGGGACAGGAAGGTAGCACAGGTGGGTGGGCACCTGTGGCCCAGCTTCAGTCAAAGAAGAAAATACAGAAAACTAGAAAATCTTTTGAACTGAGATAAAACACAACATATGAAACGTGTGGACTGCAGCAGCTGGAGCAGTGCTAGAGAGAAACGGGCTCTGAATGCTTCTAAGAGAGTGAAAATGGAGAATCCGAGATCTATGGCAGAAGTCTGCAAGCTTAGGCCTGGGCCAAATCCAGCCTCCTTTTTGTAAATAAAGTTTTATTGAAACAAAAAGCTGCTTAAATTTTTTTTTCCAGTTGTTTATTGATTTGAAAATAGAGAAGGGAGAAAGAAAAAACATCAATTTGTTGTTCCACTTCTTTATGCATTCATTGGTTGCTTCTTGTGTGTGCCCTGACTGGGGATCAAACCCACAACCTTGGGGCCCTAATCAAATGAGCTACTCTGCCAGGACTTTCTTTCTTTCTCTTTCTTTCTTTCTTTCTTCCTTCCTTTCTTTCTTTCTTTCTTTCTTTCTTTCTTTCTTTCTTTCTTTCTTTCTTTCTTTCTTCTTTCTTTCTTTCTTCTTCCTTCCTTCCTTCTTCTTTCTTCCTTCTTCCTTCCTTCCTTCCTTCTTCCTTCCTTCCTTCCTTCTTCCGTCTTTCTTTCGTTCGTTCGTTCGTTCTTTCTTTCTTTCTTTCTTTCTTTCTAGTTTAAATTGAATGAAACACATGGTAAGATTCAGTCCTCAGCCCACCAATCATTTCTCTGATTTAGCTGTTTCCTCTTTCAGAGAATGGGCATGCTCACTGGGCAGTGTGGAGTAATGGTTAGTACACAGGCCATATGACCTTGGTATCATAATTTCCCTTCCTTGTGCCTCAGTCTCCTCATCTGTAAAATGGGGTAATGGTAAGCAGCTGCCTCCTGACATTGTATGAAGGGTTAAATGAGTCTACCCATGAAAAAGCCCTGCCACACAATAATTACTCGGTAGCGCTCTCATAGTTATAGGGCAGCTATATGCCCACCCATTTGTACATTTAATGCATGAACAAAGTTTCAAATTTTTTAAATAGTTATGTGTTGCCGGGACCGGTTTAGCTCAATGGATAGAGCATTGGCTTGGGGACTGAAGGGACCCGGGTTCGATTCCGGTCAAGGGCATGCACCTTGGTTGCGGGCATATCCCCAGTAGGGGGTGTGTAAGAGGCAACTGATCGATGACTCTCTCTCATCGATGTTTCTAACTCTCTATCTCTCTCCCTTCCTCTCTGTACAAAATCGATAAAATATATTTAAAAAAATAGTTATGTGTTTATTTGCCTGTGTCCTAAGGAAGAAAGCATAGCTCGCTGCCCCCAACATGTGAGTTCACAGATGTTAATACTGCAAATGACCCAAGTTTAAAAATAAAGATGAGCTCAGCTGGAGTGGCTTAGTGCTTGGGCGTCCACCTGTGAACCAGGAGGCCACGGTTCCATCCCAGGTCAGAGCACAGGCCTGGGTTGTGAGCTGGATCCCCACAGGGGCCGTGCAGAAGGCAGCCAGTCAGTGTTTCTCTCCCTCCTTCTCAAAAATCAATGAAAACATATTTAAAAGGAAAAATAAAGACAAGTTCGTATTTTATACAAAAATTTTTTTTTACTAAGATAAAATTTACCATTGTAAAGTGGCTTTTAGTATAGTTGCAAGGTTGTATAGCATCACCACTACCTAATTCTGGGGGTGGGGGTGGAGGGAAGATCCATTTAAAGAAAATTATCAAACAACTCAAGGAGTAGAAACAAGTTAGTAAGAGGACAGTAGACAGGTAAGCCAAGTTTGGGGATCAGCGGGAGGATGCCACAGAGCAGCAGCACCCCGTATGACAAAAGGGGACTCCCGTGCCAGGGAGGAGTCAGGCACAGAGACATGCTTACAGGGTGGGGGTGGGCACAGAGCCCAGTGAGGGGGTCTGAGGGGACCCCAGGAAGCCTTGGAGAGGAGAGGTGGTTGGGCCAGGGCAGCTGAGAGGTCTCAGGCCGCTCCTTTTCTTGGGAAGAATATTTTTTTACTAGTAACTTCCCTTGGAAACTGGAAACCCTTTACGCCTCCCAGAGCTATAATAAGGCCTTGTCCATTGACCAAGTTAAAAATAAAAGATCCCCACCCAGGGGCACTCTGGGCTGGGCGGAGGTGCTGTGCAGGCTGGGCAGGAGGAGGACTGCATGTGTCTGCCCTCTCTGGTCTCTGGTCCCCAGCAGCATTAGACTGGCGATTTCCAAAGACACAATTAGCAGGGAGATTTATATGGCTGGGCTGCTGCCTTAAGGAGGCTGTAAGCCAGGAGAGGGGGCACTCTCTGGGGGTCCCTGTCCCTCAGGGTTCTCTTGGGAGGATACTCCCACCCCAGCGCTGAGCAGGAGCGGCTGGACACACTGGCCGTCAGCGCCACCTGGTGGCAATGAGTACTCATCGCCTCAGCTGAGTTCACACAAAGGAAGCTTCCTATTCTCTGGGCCAGGGAGACACACGTCCTGTACGTACCCAGGTCAACCACACTGGCTCCTCTTCGTCCTCCTCCAAGAACCCTCCCTGACACCCCCAGAAACCTCTGTGTACCCCATCACACCCTGGACTACCCAAGCTGTAACCACCTAGTCATGTCTGACTCCCTGACAGAGCTGTGAGCCCCAAGAGGGCAGGAACAGAGTCTGCTTTAGTCAACACTGTATCCCCTGAATCTGAAACCAATCTGGTACACAGTAGGTGCTCAGTATATGCCGAAGGAAGCATGGAAGCAAGAGGATGTTTTAAACATAATTCACATTCATTTATTGAGCACCTGTGTGCTAGGCACTGGGATCCAGCAATGCAGTCAACAGACAACACTCACATCCTCATGGAGAAGGCAGGTGACAATGTGGGCAATGAATACGTGACTTACTTTGTCCAAATGTGCTCTGTGTTATGGAAAAAGAGCCAAGTCAGGAGGATCTGGTGGGTGCGAATGTCAATGAATTTTAAATAGGGTGCTCATGGAGGAGAAACCAAGATGGCGGCATAGGTGAGCAACTGGTCTGCTGCTCCCACAACAATTTAAAAATGAAAACTAATATGAAGGACATCTATCATCCAAAACCACAGGAAGGAGGTACTGGGTAGTTAATAGTCAACAATTAATATGATAATAAGAGCAATGAGGGACCGATGGGGCTCTTAAAATGTGACCAGCTGGAGAAATGGAAGAATGGCAGGCCCAGAAATGGAAGAATGGAAGATGAGCAGCAGCAGCCAGACCCAGAGCAGCCAGGCCCATAGCAGCCAGGCCCGGAGCAGCAGCAGCTGGGCCCAGAGCAGCAGCATCCAGCCTGGAGCAAGCCAGGCCCGGAGCAGCAGCAGCCAGGCCCGGAGCAGCCAGGCCCAGAGCAGCAGCAGCCAGGCCCAGAGAAGCCAGGCCCAGAGCAGCCAGGCCTGGAGTGTTGTGGGGTCGAACCCTGGGTTCAAAATGAAAGGAAAGAAGGAGCAATGCAGCCAGTTCAGGTACCAGAGTGTTATGTCTGTCATCACAATGGACTCAGAGAAGCTCCTGTGTCCCTTCACCCAAAAGGACTGAGAGTTGCCCAGATGACAGCAAAGTGGGAGAGGAAAACTGAAGGCTACGCAAGGGACTGAGGTGCCAACATGGAGTCATCTGTAGAAATTAAAGACTGAAGTGGAAGCTACTTCTTTAATCATGTTCCTGCTCATGCTAGCATCTGTTAGCTTCCAGTCTTCTGCAAAGTCTTGTGCAGCAAGTCCAAGAACTCTGAGTAAATCTACACCAGCAACAAGAGACTTATTTAGTAGCTAAAAATATTAATATGTCCATAATTCTGATTTTTCATTTTGTTGTTTTGCATTGGCATTGTTGTTATTATTTAATAGCCAGAGTTTTGCTCTTGACATACAAGTTTTGAAAATAACATGTATGTGGTTTAGTTTTAGCATTGGCAAAAAATAAAAAATAAAAATCTAAAGACCAGAATAAACTGGTGAATATAATAGAATCAGGGGTAAAGAAAGGGAGTGGATTGATAATTATCAGGGGGAAAGGGGTGTGGGGTGCAGAAAGAGACTGGATTAAAATAGTATAACCTATGGATGAGGACAATGGCTAGGGGGGGAGGTAAGGGCAGAAGGTGGGGCAGGAGCCTGGTGCAAGGGAGCTATTGGGGGGGGGGGACAATTGTAATAATCTGAGCAATAAAGATTTATTAAAAAAAAAATAGGGTGCTCAGAGAAGCCCCCATTGAAAGGGTGGCATTTGAGCAAAGATCTGGAGGAGGTGAGGAGGGAGCTAAGGAGGTTTCTGGCAGAAGGACATTCCAAGCAGAGGGAACAGCCTGTGCAAAGGCCCTGGGGCAGGACCAGGCCTTACAGGTTGGAGGATTAATGAGGAAGCCTCTGTGGGTGGAGTGGAGTGAGAGGGAGAAAGTAAGGGCAGGCCCTGCAGGGTCTTATGGGCCTCTGGGAAGGGCTTTTTTATTTTTTAATAATATATTTTCATTTATATCGGAGGGGAAGGGAGAGGGAGAGATAGAAACATCAATGATGAGAGAGGCTCATTGACCAGCTGCCTCCTGCACGCCCACACTGAAGTTTGGGCCCACAACCCAGGCTTGTGGCCTTGACCACAGTTGAACCTGGGACCCTTCAGTCCACAGGCTGATGCTCTATCCACCCAGCCCCACGGGCAGGGGCAAGGTTTGGGCTTGTATGCTGAGGGAGGGAGTTGGGGTCCCTGAAGGGCTGAGGGCAGAGGGGAGAAATGACCTGACTTGGGTGCTCAGAGGGGTCCTCTGGCTGCTGCTAGGGCAGGGATTGGATACAAATCAATAGAGGGAAAGTGGGTGGCTGGGGCAGAGAAGAGAGGGCAACTTTATGCCGATTCCTCTTTGGTACCTTTTGAGTGAGAATGTATTCCTTGTTCAACCGAATGTAAACTTAGATACCCCCCTGTTGATTGTGCATTTGTGTGTAGCGCTACATTGATGATTGGGGAGACTTGTGGTGGGGTTGGGGGGAGGTCTGTCACCTCCTCTGTCTCACCAGGCAGCGGGACAATCACACTTGAATACATAAATTTGTGAGGTTCAGATGCAGCCCACCTCCTGTCCCCGTTCTGCCCGAGCCAAGCCACAGCTGCGCATGTGCGGTGACACTGGGTAAAGCACTAGCTTCTGTGGCCCGGAGGTGGGAGAACATCCGGAAACTGTCCATCTCAGAAAGACATCGTTCCAAGCAGGGACACAGTACTGACCTCCCAAACCAAATATCCGTTACTTATTCACATTTCACAGTTTTTAAAGGGGATAATTTTCAAGAGAATTTCCCTATTTTTCTTTAAAGCTGTTTGGCCTAGAGGGGGCATGGGATGTCCCCCAGGAAACACCCAGGCCGATGGTGGCCACCAGAGGGCGCTAGTGCAACAGGGATTATAGCTGAGCCCCTAACTGGGCCGCCCCTGCAGGCTTTTGCCGGCTGTTTTCCTAACCCACAGCCCATTCCTAAGGTCTTAGCTAACTTCCCCCTTCCTTCCAGCAGCTTCTCAATTCCCCGAGGCTGACCAAGGGCCCCTCTACATTTCCCCATCACAGCCCCCATTACCCCCAACAGCCTGTCTCTGGCACTGGGCCACACGCACTGAACGGACAGAACAGCATTGTCCCGGGTCACCCCCAGGGTGCCCACAGGGCCTGCACACGTAGGGCCCCAGTACGTGTTGGCTGGTTTCGTGGACAGATGAATCGACATTCTCCTCCCAGGTAGCAGGTCTGTGTACCCACAATCCCCCGCAGGCTCACACTCAGCAGGTGCTCAACAGCTATCAAAATGACCACCCACTTAGTATGTACCAGGCCCGGTACTGGCTTCTGAAAACACCACAGTGACCAAGACAGACCTGTCCCGGCCTCCCAGGGTGGGCACGGTGTGGTGGAGAAACAAATAATGAAGTTAACAAGGACATTTCAAAGAATTTAAAAACCAACACAACGAATTAACAGGCTGCTCGGTTTCTGTGTGGGCCAGAATTTGAGAGAGACCTCTGGCTCTTTCTCCTGCTCCTGAAGGTTACTTTTGTGCTGTGTGACCTTGTACAAGGAACCTGACCTCTCTGGGCCTGTCTCCTCACCTGTACATTGGGGACAATGACAGTCGCCAGTTCCTGGGGCTGTTGGGAGGAGGACATAAGCCCACTTGCCCTAGTCCTCTAGCTGCCACCCTGGCCCCGTCTGCCCTTCCCACAGCAGCCCCCAGGGGGCACCTGTGAGCGCCTTTGTCAGGTCCCTCTCTTCTCAGGGCACAGCTCTCCAGGGCTGCCACCTCCCTTGGGAGGGTGGGGGGAGGGAGGGGAGCAGCGGGATCCAAGTCCTCCCCGTAGCCCACAAGGCAAACAGGGCTGTACACGACCTGCCTCTCCTGGACTCCTCCTTCCTTGCCTCCCTCCCTCTGTCCCCTCGGGGCTGTTCCTCCAACAGGTCAAACATGGCTTACCCTAGGACCTTTGCCCTGGCTGTATCCTCTGGCCAGACCATCCCCACCCCAGCCCACCTGACTTTTCCACAGCCAGTTCCTTCTCTTCCTCCAGATCTTGGCTCAGGGAGGCCTCTCTGGCACCTGGGCCAAAGGTCCCTCTCCGGAGACACTCCCATCACCTGGCCCTGCTATCTGGCTTCCTTATTTGATGACTCACTCCCTGCTCCCCTCCCCTCCACCTCCAACTGCACCGCACTGCCTGGGAAAACCCTGGCAGGCACTCAGTCCACGCAGGTCAGAGGAGACAAATATTCGCTGCCACTATTGTTATTTGCCGCTGGCTCTCACCTCCAGAAGCCGTCCCGCCCCACCCGCCCCAGAGCCCTATGGCAGGCTTTCCTCCCCCAGGTTTCACTTCGTCTTTCTGGAGGCTGGGAGCAGAGCCCTCACAAAATCTGAGTCAGCCAGCCACTGAGAGCGAGTGGGGAGGACAGCCTGGGTGAATCACACCAGGCCTGCCCTTGGGGCGGCAAGCACTGAGGGAAAGGGCATGCAAAGTGAATGTGCAAATCAGACAGCTGGGGGGTCGGGGCCCCCAGCTACTGGGCTCTGTCCGCCCAGAGTCGCCTTCCTGGGCTCTCCCACCATCTCCTCCCTTGGAGTTTGGCTTCTTGGGTTGTAATCTCCCCGGTTCCAATCCAGAATTCACCTCTTTAGGCCTCAGTTTTCCCCATCTGGACAATGGGCCCAACCATAGAAGCGTCTACCTCCGGAAGTCGTGTGGAGAGATGGAAATATGCTTAGATTTTGTAAAGCCTCCAGAAAAGATGAATCCCCTCCCTGCCCATACGCGGCTAGTGAGCCTTCGCACTGTCCCTGGGGTTGCAGTGTCAGGGACACCTTAGCGATGACCTTGAAACACAGGAATCAAACCCACTCCTGAGAACACAGAGGCTCAGAGGGGAAGACACTTGCCTCAAATCACACAGTGGGATCTGAGCCCAGCCTTGCTGAGGGCATCAGGGCACACTCACACCCCTCCCCCCAAAGATCTGCCGCAGAAACTGCCAGCATCCCCGATCCCTTTCCTCTCCTCTAGTATTGGAAGTCGCTTTAGGAAAGCACACGGCCCGTCAGAAGACTGCATGTCCCAGGTACCCTTGCAGCCGGAGAGGAGCCGAGCGACAAGTTCTGCCCAATGAAATCAGCCAACACCGGAAATGCCCGGCTCAGCCATTTGTAAGGAGAAGTGTGTTTTTCTCTTCAGTTTCCCCTTTTAGTTCCGTAGGCATGTTTCCGTCTTTACCGATCGCCTCGCAGAGGAGAACAGTGCTGGAGAAGCACTCAATAAATACTTATAATTAAAACACGGTGCTTACGGTCGGTCCCCAGCCCATTGCCTGCCACCACCATCATCCCCATAGCCTGTCAACACCGTGTCCGATTCTGGCCTCTCAGTAGCATATTTTTCTACTGGGGCCCATTCTGCACAATTTCCCGAGACATAAAGGCATCCCCAGCAACGTCCTGAAAACAGCAGATGACCCCACTGTCTACTCATCCCCGGAACATGGGGGGAGGTCCCTCCAAGATCCAGCCCGAAGGGGGTCTGGCGTCACGGTCGTCAGGCTTTGTCCTTCGGTCACTCCGCTTCCCGGGCCTGGTCCTCGGGCGCCGGGGCCGCGCGTTGGTTCCACATGTGGTTGTTGAGCCCCAGCTGCACCATTTGCGCGTGGTGGATGATGAGGGGCTGCAGCCCCGGGCTCTGAGGGGGCGCAGGCGGGGCCGGCGGGGAGGCCGGGCTGGGGGTGCCAACCAGCCACGGAGGCAGGGTGGGTGGCGGGTAGCTGGGCCACGCAGGGAAGGGTGGTGGTGGGGCCCCCAGGGGCCCCGGGCCCCCAGAGGGCACCTGAGCCCCGAAGGGCATGTGGCTCCTGAAGGCGGCCTGCAGCTGCTCCACCTGCGCCTGCCAGGCCGAGCAGGCCTGGACGTAGGCGGCGTACGCGGCGCTCACGGCTGCCGCCCGCTGCCGCTCGCCCTCCAGGTACTCCTGCTGCTCCCGCAGGGCCTGGGCGTCCTGCTCCTTCCTCCAGAGGGCCTTGCGGGCCCGGAGCCTTTGAGGCCTGAAGGTGTTGGCTACCTTCCTGGCGAAGACCGGGGAGTGCTCGTCCAGCCACTCCAGCCCGGCGAGCAGGCGGGCCGTGGCCGGGCTGAGCTGGGACCGGGCGGTCTCCTGGGGCAGGAGCGGGACCAGGCAGTCCTGCCAGCCCGGCCGCGTGAGGCTGCTCATCAGCGACTGGCTGAGCTGGTGCTGGCTCAGGCGGCAGTCGAAGTTGGCCGTGAGCAGCAGGACGGTGAAGGCCGAGTGGTCGATGGCGTCCTGCAGGCAGTGCAGGCTGCTGCGCCCGGGCACCTGGAAGTCCTCGCAGAAGGTGGCCCCGTCGGGCACGCCCAGGGCCTCCAGCCTCTCCCGGACGCGCAGGGCGGTGTGCTCGTCCGCCTTGGCGTGCAGGACCACGAAGTTGAAGAACTTCTGCTGCTCGGACGGCTCGAACTCGGGGGCCGGGGGACACGGGCTGGAGGAGGTGGCCGGGGGAGCGGGAGGAGGCGGAGGGAGGGAAGGGTCGGGAGGGGACGTTGTGGGGGCGGAGGAGGTGGGTGGGCTCGGCTGGGCCGTGGGGGAAGTAGTATCTTTAACGGGAGTTTGTAGTGGCTCTGGGTCCTCGACGAGGCAGGTGTTTCTGGGGGGCGAGGGGAGAGACTTGGGGGCTGGTGCCCGGGGGGCTTCTGTGCATTCCACTGGGAAGTGGGTGCTGGTGCCGGGGGCGTCAGCGGCGCCGGGCAGGCCAGCAGGGTTTGCATCGGTGACCTCGGGAAGCCCGGGGGCCGGGCTAGTTGACGGCACCAGGGTGTCGGCCCTTTCTTCCGCCGACGAGGGCCAGCTCATCTCCACGGGCTCCTGGCAGGCTGCGCGGACCTGCTCAGGCTCGGGCACCGGGGGCTCCCCACACAGCTTGCTGGGGCCCGGGGGGCTGCGGTGCTGGCTGAGGAGGGCCACGGTGGGCGACTGGCTGATCTCCAGGTTGCTGGCCAGGGACGCCGGGCTGCCGGTGGACCTGAGGGAGCACCCCCTGCTCCAGCCCAAGGGGTCCTGGATGGGCTGAGGATGGCTGCGCGTCCTGGAGGGGGGTGCGGAGGAGGGCGGGAGGCAGCCCAGGGCAGAGTGGAGCGGCTGGAAGTGGCCCAGGTCCCCGGCCACGTCCCAGCCGCACCGGTCCCGGGCCTCCTCCTGGAGCTCCCGGAGCTGGGGGTCGTCCCTGGCGCCGAAGACGCGGAGGGCCGCCCGGTAGGCCTCGTCCCGCAGCGGGCCCGGGCACAGCTTCTCCTCGGCGAGCAGGTGGTACAGCCGGGCCACGGCCCAGGACACGTCCGGGGGCTCCTCCGCGGCCTCCGCGCCGCCGTCCACGCCGGCCCACTGGCGGGCCACGAGCCGCGCCACGGCGTCCGCCTGCAGGGCCTCCAGGGAGATCCTGGCCTCGGTCTCCTGGCCCAGCGCCAGGAGCACCATGGCGTGCAGGAGGTCGGCCCCCCGCCCGCCGGGCCGCAGGGTCCTCAGCTTGTGCTTAAGGTACAGGAGCTTGTCCTGGCCTGCGCCGCCTAGGACGCGAAAGGCACTGGCGAGCGACGGGCCCGTGCCGGCCATGGGCAGGCTGGGCGCGGCCTCCGGGGGCAGCAGAAGCACTGGCTGGTGGAGGCATGTTCCACACCCCTGCCTCCTGCACGCCCGGCGTCCCCTACCCGCTCACCATACCGGGCTCCAGGGAACTCCGGGAGCAGACCTGCGGGGAGCAGGAAACACGTGGTCACCACCAAGCAGCCCAGACACCCACCTGCCTGCAGAGGCCACCATGACCTCTCCCATCAGGGGGACCCTGGGCAAGTTGTGTCCCCTCCCCCAACGCGTTTCCTCCTCTGAGAGAGGATCCCAGCATACACTTTCCTGGCACCACCCACGAGGTAGATGCTGCTGTTCCCCCATTTGCAAATGAAGGAAGTGAGCCAGAGAGGTGGAGTCCCTTGCCCAGAGTCATACAGCCAGGGAGTGACAGAGCTGGGACCGGAACCCCGGCAGTCTGGCTCCACAGGGTGATGTGTGCCTGACCGCCAGACTCCACTGCCTAAGATGAGGATGAACCCACTGGTAGACTGTCTCAAGGAACTGAGCTGTGTTCTTGTATGGAAAGTTCTGGGTCCGTTGACTGGAAGTCAGCAGGGGCTCAACACATGTTTGGAAGGAAAGCAGTCCATCTCCTGGATGGCCCCCGGGAGTCCCCCCCCTGGCTCTCCCAGCCGTAGGTAGTCCTTCCAACACTGCCAGAGCTGATCTCCGATCGAGAGAAAACGGCAGACTGGATGGGGTGTCACTCATGACATCTACACTAATAAAAGAGGAAATATGCAAATTGACCTTACCTTCGTGACACCCACCAGCCAATCAGGCGTGAGTATGCAAATCAGCAAGCAAAGATGTTGTGTTAGTTTGCATACACATGTGCAGAGTGAAGACTGAAGACTGAAGAGGCTTGGCTTCTCCGCTGTGGCCGGAGCAAAGGCCTGGGTCCTGGGTGCCAGAGGGAAACCGGTGCTGGCAGCCAGGGGAAGGAAGGTCTATTGTACGAATCTTCATGCAACGGGCCTCTGGTTAAGTTATAAAACACACTGGCTTTCTTCTTAGTCACTCTCTATATGTGTTTACTGATTTTAGAGAGAGAGCAAGAGGGGAGGGAGAGAGAGAGAGAGATCCATGAGACCCATTGATGGACTGCCTACTGCACTCCCCCTAGTGAAGATCAAGCCAGCAACCCTAGCATGTGATCGAACCAGGAACCTCTTAGTTCATGAGTCAATGCTCAACCACTAAGCCACACCAGCTGAGCTCAGTCACTCTCCTTCTCTGTCATTTGTCAGGGGTAAACCATGCTGTGAGCAGACCTGCGGAGGGGCCTATGTGGAAAGGAACTGAGGCCCCCTGCCACCAGCCACACGGGGAGCCGGCCTGAACTCCAGCCCCACTGACTCCGCCGCAGGCAAGTCCTCAGGTGAAGCAGCCCAGCTGACAGCTTGACTGTGACCTCATGAAAGAATCCAAGACAAAACCACTCACCTATCTGCCCCTAGATGCCTGACCCTCAGAAACTGCGAGATCATAGGTGTTGATTTTAAGCCACCGAGTTCTGGGGTGATTTGTTACACGGCTGTATGTAGCTAACTGATACAAGTAGCATTGTTAAAATGGTGCACTAAGCCGAAACTGGTTTGGCTCAATGGATAGAGCGTCAGCCTGCGGACTGAAAGGTCCCAGGTTCGATTCCGGTCAAGAGCATGTACCTTGGTTGTGGGCACATCCCCAGTGGGGGGTGTGCAGGAGGCAGCTGATAGATGTTTCTCTCTCATCGATGTTTCTAGTTCTCTATCCTTCTCCCTTCCTCTCTGTAAAAAATCAATAAAACGTATTTAAAAAAAACAACAACCACTCTCAGATTCCATGGCCTCACCTCGGGCATAGTGGAGCCCGCTGGCACCACTTAAGCTCCCTATACCATCTGTCTCTCCCTGGTCCCACAGTGAGAATCTACAGCCCAGAGCAGTGCTTCCCAACTGGGAACAACTCCTTCCCCCAGGGGGCCCTGGGCTATGTCTGGGGACATTTCTGGTTGTCATGACTCTAGAGAAAATGCCCTATAGTCATCAAGGGGGTGGAGCTGCTCAACACCCCACAGTACCCAGCACAGCCCTCCACAGAGAATGATCTGGCCCCAAATGTTCCTAAGTGCTGATTTTGAGGGACCCCAGTCTATGATTCAGGGTTTCTTAAAAATTCATTTTAAGCAGATGTCATACGGTCCCACTGGGGCACCAGGGCCAAGGTCGGTGTATCCAGAAAGGTCAGAGCCAAGGTCGGTGTAACCAGGAAGGTCAGCACAGGGCAGAGAGCACGGGGAGTGCCAGCCTCTGGGAGTTGGGGGCACAAAGAGGCAGGACTGAGCAGAGACAGCACTGGTGCAGAGGCGAAAGGCAGTGCTGGGGAGAGGATGTAAGGAAGTAGGTGCTGCCTGGCTGTTTCAGAAATGGAAATAGCCTCACATGTTGAAATGCTGATGAGGAGAAGGAAATAGCAGAGACCCAAACAGTGGAGCCGACTTCCTAGTGTGGGGGGCAACCAACAGTGAGCCTCATCTGCTCCCGCCAGGACTGGTGCATAGAAGGGGCATATGTCACTCCTTTTGGCTAATGAAGAAATGTTAGAAGCCCTAGCCGGTTTGGCTCAGTGGATAGAGCGTCCTCCTTCGGACCAAAGGGTCCCGGGTTCGATTCCTGTCAGGGGCATGTACCTCAGTTGCAGGCTCCTCCCTGGCCGGGCCCTGGTCAGGGCGAATGCAGGAGGCAACCAATCAATGTGTTTCTCTCACATCAATGTTTCCCTGTCTTTCCCTCTCTCTTCCACTCTCCCTAAAAGTCAATGGAAAAATACCCTTGAGTGAAGATTAAAAATAAATAAATAAATAAATCTAAAATAATAAAAGCATAATATGCTAATTAGATCAGACATCCTTCCGGACAACCTTTCGGACAAAGCTGTGGTGGAGGGAAGCCCGGGTCCCGGGTGCCAGAGGAAACTGGTGCGAGCAGCCAGAGGAAGGAAGGCCTACTCTTGCACGAATTCTGTGCTTCGGGCCTCTAGTGTGTGTGTGTGTGTGTGTGTGTGTGTGTGTATAAAAAGAAATGTTACAAGACCTGGGAGGCAAAACATAACTAGGCTATCTCAGAAAGATGCATAGGAAACCGAAGGGGCAGTTATTCCAAAGTGCTTACTGAGCACCTACTACGTGCTGACCCCTTCCCACGCCGGCCTCAGAGGAACCCTCCCGCCAGGCCAGTGGGGAAGCTATCTGACATCTACATGTGGCAGACACTCCTGTGACCTTTCCGTTTTTGCTTATTGTCTTGACTGTGGTCTCCATTGAGGGCACTACGTGGTCCCTACTGTGTGCCCAACCTACTGCACAGTGTCTCCTGGCATACAGCAGGCACCTCATAACCGTCTGCTGGAGATTTAATGTTTGCCCCTTTATCAGAGGAGTAAACAGAGACCCGGGCAGTTTCGGGAACTTGCCCCACTCACCTATCCCCCCTCCCCCCCAAACTGTGAAGTCACTCGGGAGACTGTCACTCTGCGCCCCTGCCTGTCACACTGGCACCCCCTCCTCCAACCCCCTGAAAGGAACACGGACCTGTCCACCTGGGGCGGCCTGGGCTGTGACTGGTGTCAGTGCCCGTCCTGAGCAGACCTGCAGCGGCCCCTGGTACCAATCCCGCATGCCCCACGGAAAAGGATGGGGGGTGAGGGGCTGGAGATCCCCCTCTCAGCTGACGCAGGCTGTGGGAGGGGGTTCTGGGGTTCCTGGGAGAGGTGGGGACTCAGGGCTGGGGGGAGGCCAGCGGTGGTGGGGCAGGAGGTTCAGAGGCTGGGACAGAGAAAGCTCTGAGGTTTCGGAAGAAATCAGTAACATGGGGGAGAAATGAGGAGCTGGGGGAGATGTGGAAGGCCAGGGAGAGATCTGGGGGATTGGGAAGAAATTCAGGGTGTGGAAGAAATGGGGGATTGGGGAGGACCCGAAGCCTTGGAGGTGGGAGATGGGGACGCAGCGCATGGACGCCAGAAGCTCTGAGGCCGGTGGAGAATGGGGGGGGTGGGGTCAAGGAGGTGGGTTGGGGGTGGAGGGACAGCGGACCAGGAACCTAAGCGAGGAGCCCGGCGTCCAGCCTTCAAGGCGCGCAGCTACCAGCTGGCGCCCGACACACACCCACCCGCCCGCCCTGCGCAGCCGGCCCTCTCCCTCCGCTGCCCGGGCGGCCCTCGCCCTCTCCCCTCTCCGCTCACCTCGCGTCCCGGGGCCGGGGTCTGCGGCCGGCCGGCCTGTCCGGTGCCCGCGGGGAGCCGAGCTCGCAGGGCGCGGGGACGGGCCGCCTCCGTGGCCTCTGCCCTCCCTTTCCGGGGCGGACGGGGCGGGAGGAGGTGAGGTCAGGCTTTCCCTGCGGAACCGGGGAAAGTCCCCCGGACGCCCCGCCGCGCCCCCTCCCCCGCCCGGCGCGCCTCCCGCCGGCAGCGCGGGCACTCCGTTCCGCGGCGCCCTGGGCACCCAATGTGGGGAGGGGGGGCAGAGGGACCAAGGCCTGCCCTGGGGAGGGGGACCGGCTAGTGAGAAAAGAACCGCCACTTAAAATCAGGCCATCGACGTTAGCGATCAGACTGTCCGGGAGATACAGCAGGGGCTGGGAAATTGTGGGTGGGGGCGCCCCAAAATCAGGAGGAAGGGAGTCGCGGCCATCCAGGAGGAGTTTGGGGAAACTTGTGTGTTGGCGGCGGGGGGTGGGGGAGGGAAGCGAGATGGCATATCTTGAAGCTGCAAACACGACTTTTTAGAATTCGCAGGCGTCCTACCCTTTTGGGGGTCCTGTACCCAGAGCGGCCTGATCCATGGGGTACAGCAAAGACGTGTACTCTGGACCATCATACTTTTAGCGGCACACAAAAGTGTTTTTATTTCTTTTAAAATTGGGGGGGGGGGGATGAATAGTATTGCAGCCTGGATTATATTTGTCTTTATACCAATGCTTTTGTAACATGTCATTTCTTGTTTG